TACCATCAGTGTATTAATCCTGCTGCCTGAATCTCTACCAAATTTGAACGTAAATTAGCGATTTTCGCTGACGCTCCGCCCCCGAAGGCAGAGGGTAGTCGTGCTCATCAGCATTGCCCCACAGCTGCCTGTTCCCCAACTAAACTTAAATCTATTTTACTTCAAATCTCACTTCTAGGTCTAAATTAAAAATTTTTGCACATGCCCCTCCCCTCTCCCCTCCCCCGTTTCAGCAAATTACAGTCGTATCATCTCTCCTGAGTGTTCCGATGCTGCCGCGTGTTTTCCTTCTAAAGATTAACGCCTTCGGTCGGAATTAGCAGTTTTCGCTCACGTCTCGCCTCCCGCAGGCCGAGTACAGTCCGTCCACATACCATAGGTGTTCCCATCCCGCCAACGGTAACCATACCAAGTTTGAACCCTCTCTGTCCACGGGAGCAGGAATCTCCTGTCACACACAACACAACACATTCAATTGTGGACAAACCCACAGACATACTTAGTACTATAATAAAATTCTTATAGTCCACAAAAGCTAGGACATGAGCGCCGTAGGCATGCTCTCAGAAGAACTGTAGCTTCGTGCAACCAAACCATTTTTTCAAAATAACTTTTTGTACTAATACCAAAAGTGTCAGAAAGTGAAAGCTACAGAAAAATAGGCTAACAACCCAGAACACCACTTTGCCAAAATTAATAAGCGCCTTTCGTGTTAACATGTAGAAGTAAATACTATAACCACTTCTCAAACTCACGCAAAGTATTTTCCGCTGACACCTTCAACGTTCTTGCTGAGGGCCAGATAAAGGGAAGTCTGCGCTCCATCGCTCTCCGTTTTCAGAAAGAACCATCTGAATATGAGAGGTCTTTACAAAGAACCGCCTCTCCCCAACGACGCAACGAAAAAACATTGTGAAACCTAACCTGAATGGTGCAGTTATTTGACGCAAGGGCGTTTTGAGGAGAGGAGTCGATCGAGACAGGTTGGTGTTCACCACACCTGGATGTAACGAGTTCGCAGTGACATGGTGAATGCCAAGTTCATGAAGACGCCTAGTCAGGGCACGAGCATGCATGACCTGAAGTTTAACAAAAAGGTTTACTGCACATTAATTCCAGAAATTCTTCGAAAAAAAAAACAAACCCATTTCTAGCAAAGAGTCGTTAGATGCTCAGAAATCGATCCGAAATTGCTTCAAAATTTGCTTACATTAGCGAGCTTGCTGCGATTGTATGGCTCGAAATAGCCAAATTTCTTTTCGTCGTCGATGGTAGCCAAATCTAAGGCTTTACTCCTGAGATGCAATTTTGAAGACACGATCACAATCCTTGCTTTTGGTGCCTTCTCCATCGCCGGCAGAAGTAAATGAGTAAGAAGAAAATGTCCTGCAAGAAGCCCACGACGGTTATTCTTATAGATCATCCACAAAATACCACCTAGAAATTAGTAATGAATATGGAGACAAAAAATTTTGAGAGCTGTGGGTTCAAAATCTCTGGCAAAGAACAGGCTGCAGGTTGAGCCGAGAAGAGAAAAATATCAAAGGATCAACTTCGCTAACCAAGATGATTGCTTTGCCAGGTCATCTCGTGGCCATCAACCGTTTTCTCATATCTTGGATAAAACATCACTCCAGCATTATTGATGAGTATGTCGATCTTGTCTTCTTCTTAAGGAAATAAACTGTTCTCAACGGCAACCCAGGTTAAGGGAACAAGAAATTTCGAAACAGTTAGACACTGATTTTTTGATGTCCTGCTGAACTTCCAAAATTCTACCTACCTTTTAAAATCTCATTTGCGCATTCTCTAACGCTGCTAAAATTTGCCAGATCGCATCGAAGATTGACGAGACGAGTGGCATCGCAGCCCATCTAAAATTCATCTCATACTGCTTTTCATGCTGCTTCGAGTCGCTTATATTAATGCCACCACTAAATGCAAAAAAATATCTCTCATATTTTCTGTGTACCTGCATTTCTACCAAGCTGTTTATCACTATCTTCAGCTTATCAGTGTTTCTGTGATTCTAACAAGCTACCTCAAAGTTCTTTGTTCTCGTCTCATACCTTTCAATAAGAGACGATAACTACTCTTACTCATCAGATTTCGCTCACCTCAAGAACAACGCGCACCTCCTGGAGGCGTGTAGTCATTCTTAAGAGATCTGCGCACTACTCGAGGAACCTACTGAAAACTGGGGAACATCAGTAGAAATAAGTACGAAAAGGAGGATAGGAATATACCTTGAAAAACCAAAACAAAATTAAATAGTACTGAACTAAGATCTCTCAAAACGGACATTTCAACAAAGCGAAAGCTAGTAAAAAAAAAAGGCATCAGTCACTCAAACTTCCCAAATAATGACGAACACTCTGAACAATGAACACTCCGACATTGCCGAGCAAATTTGGAAATTCCTACCCTGACGTTCCGACAATCTTGACTCATTTTTACAGATATTTGTTTATTTTCACTTCGTTTCTAGAAGCAATTGCATCTACCAATTGACAACGTAATCGATACATGAACATTATCAAATACCTGTGCGAGTTTGATCTTTGCAGCTACGCCACGTTCTTCATTGCGGCAGAGCATATATACCTAAATGTACCAGAGACATGAAAGCCTACTAAGGAAATGTGAGGTAAGAAAAAAGACTTCTGAATACGGCTTGGAACAGCTTGACTTGCCCTATGATGAGACGAAATCAATTCCTCTCAATACATGGAATTGACTACCCTCTAAAAGACCTGTACCTACTATTTTGCCTGAAACATATTGGCAAACGATCAGAAAGTTCTAAGTAAGGCTTTGACAATACAGGACCATAGGCGAATGAGTGTTAGCCCTTACGAGTACTTGCCTTAAAGTGCTATGTACTATGAGCACTTCTCAGCAACAACAGGTATAAAATGAGAAAAGGAAAATGCGAATAGGGAAAATGGTCCAGTTTTGGTAATGGAAAGAACGATGAAGGTAAGGAACGGAATGAACGGGAAAGATATCAAAAAAGCACAGCGAAACAAGCGATATCCCATCCATCGCAGATGATCAAATGAACAAATAATAGAACTGAGCACAAATCATAATAGAATTGAGCAGACATCGTACCTTAGCCTTTGCAAGATTTAATCCTCTTACAGTTTGCAGGCCGATGCCACTGTTCGCACCGGTCACCACAGCTACTAGACCTTTTGCTGACACTTGTTCATGCATATCGTCGAAATGTGCACCTTTGAAGTACCTCCTGTAATGGCAACAAGTGACTGTAGAACATTTAAAAGTGATTTGTCTTCTCTACAATCAAGCTTGGCATCTTGAAATGAATTTGTTAGGAATGCATGTTAACCCTCGATTCCCTGATAATGAAAGATGAGCTCTCCCTATCGAATCGGTAAACAGACCGCTTCAAAAACATTTGCCATGGTAAGAAAATGAGGCAAGAACGAAAAAGAGTCTCTTCGCGACCACCCGCCGTGATACTATGAGTAAAAGTTACTAAAACAAAGTCACATTAAAAAATGAGTTAAACTGCCCTACTCTATGCGATTAATTCATGTTATTTTGGTCGGCGGAAAGTTTGATCGCTCGTTTAGTACATCAAGACTGCGACTCCATTGTACTTGGCCTTTTCCACTGACTCAGTACAATTGTTTGCAAAATGATAAAAAAAATGGACACTTAGTTGTTGGTCGATGTGCGACGACCCTTCACATAATCACCAACAGATGGTGATAAGGACTAGGAACAGGCTTGACGCGTGGAAGAAATTAGAAATGACGGCTGCACACGGCCCTCTCATGATAATATCAAGTTCAGCTTATTGGCGGGGAAGGTCAAATAACATTCCTTTTTGCCGTAGAACGTTTGGTCGTTCAAGTCGCCTTTTTTTGTTTTCGTATCTGATTCCATACGGTACTAACTTTATGGCACTGTTGATTACACGATCTATCCTACTTTGTATATTAACCGATTAAACCATACCATTATAGATTAAAATTACTATCAAAAAGGGATAAAGAGGGCATATCGCACAATTCATTGTTGAAGACGTATCTGCACCTCATGAAATACACTTCGGAGCAATATGAGCACTTCGGCACCGTATTACCGATCTGCACAACTTTGCCTTTCTCTCCCGCTACGACTGAATTTTGACCCCAGCAGATGTTGAATTATACGAATTCTACCGTGATTTCATTTTACTTGCAAAGATAACCCACTCACTGCAGCTATGTAACATAACGTAGGCGCAGGAGTGTATATTTGTAGAAGCTCTTGAGCCTAATCCCTCAATTTAATAGAAGCTGTGGAGTCTGGTCCTTCAATAACTAATGGATGGTTCCAGATTTCAACGACTTACGTTGTTTCAACCGACAAGCGACACTGATCGAAAGCGCTGCTGACAACGTTGCAACGCGTGACCAGAACGCTGTCGGTCGGCCGCATGTCGTTGAAGTATGAAAGCGCCCAATTGCAAAAACCAGGTGATTATTGTGTTCACATAACAGCCGCATCACAAAATTTTAATCACCTACCTTAGAAGATACAATGCTGTGCCAAGAAAAGCGGTCAATAGAACATAGTTCACAAAGTGGTCCGACTTTTCGGGCGTAAATACAATTTCGTCCATTACGCTTTTTTGTCTGAGATAGACTGTTTTATGAGAAAAGGCGATGCATTTCCAATAACGTCGGAAAGCACGAATCGTCATAGAGCGAACGTTTGAATCAGCAACCAAGTAATTTCGCGTAGATTTTAGAGAAATCGAATTACTTTTTTTTAATCAGAAGGAAGAAATATTTATTCAGATTAGATAGTGCCCATAAAAACTCAGGTACCTGGTCTGTAGATGTAAATCACCTTGCAGAATAGAAAGTTATCCTTCAGAATAAATGTTTGAAGTAATCAGAAAAATACGCAGCTACTCCATTCCCAAATTAATAGCAATATTACTGAACCTTTTACCAGTGAAGGGTATATTACAATTTGAATAAATACGAATTCTTTTTATAATTCTGTAAAAAAAGCTGTCTAGTGATGCTCGATCAGACTCGCTACGTAAACTAGCACTTTGCTCATACAAAGTGGAGGCAAGATTTGCAGACCGCCACATTACATTCCAGTATAATTTTGTTGCAAATTTTGTTTGAATTTCCAGCAGTATTGTAGTCACTGCTTTCAATGCACAAATTATTTGCTTTTTACAATTTTTACCAGGAAGAGTTCAAAAACAGAATCGCCCAGTTTGAGTTCCACAATTCCCAAAAACGCTCAATTTTCACAGTCTTATTCACTGTAATTTAATAAAGACACTGAATTACTCAGGCGAGAAAGCCATGGTTCCTACATTTTGTCAGCCTCATACAAAAATATATATATATATATATATATATATTCATTGTCTTAGAAACATCAGCAGCTTGAAGCGACATGAAGTTCTTTGAACTAAGTTTTTCGAGAACGATAGCAGAAACTTTTGCATATATTTTAGAAAAATTTTGGATTTTTTAGATTAAAACCTTGTAGTGCCGCACTATTCTACGCTGCACTGATAATCTTATCAGGACAACACTCACGCATATGAAAAAGAAACTTACAAAATTCATTTTGAAAAAAGCTCCCCCTTCCCCCATTTAATTTCAAGTTGGTATAGAAATGGGTCGTTGTAATTACTCTGGAAAAGAAGTATTGGTGCTGCAATGGAAAAGCATTACTGGGTAAAAAAAACGATTCGCAATGAAGCCGACTTGTAAACACAACCTTCGGATTCGTTCAGCATCACAGACCACCAGATCGACGGGATAGTGTCGTGCCAGTTGGATCGTCCACTTTAATTTAAACCATAGTTAGAGATGCGGGTACTATTCTTCTATTACACCCCCAAAAACTCAAAATTTTAATTTTCGATGAAACTTCGCCTATAGAGGTAATCCGATGCCCTGATAACGAATATGACCTTTACTTTTGGCGCTGGCGCCATTTGGCGCCAATTTGGCGCCAAGGGTGTTTTCACCAAATTTACTGAAAACTTGCGTTTAGGGGTTATTTGAGGTCCTAATACCGAATATAACATTCATTTTTGGCGCTGGCGCCATTTGGCTCCAATTGGCGCCAACGCCAAAAATGAAGGTCATATTCGTTATTACGGCATCGGATTACCCCCGTAGGCGAAGTTTCATCGAAAATTAAAGTTATGAGTTTTTGGAGGTGTAACAGTAGAATAGTCCTGGGGGTGTAGTAGTAGAATAGTACCGATATGCGTATAATAAAGATGGGTATAATTGTTCACTTAGTTTCGCAACCTAAACTTTTACTTACGAAGTTTTTTGATCATTTTCTTATCCGATAATTATTTTCCAAACTCCCAAAACTTACCCGTCATCTGGTGATAACACCAAGATTGCACGTCGACCGACAACTAATTTGTCACATATTTCTCGTCATACGAGGACTAGATCAAAATAACCGTAGTGAATCTGTGGAATAAGCTGGAGTGTGATGAGGTGACAACCGCGATTGATCCGTTTTTTTCTCCTATAAAAGCCTTCACACTGATGGACCCCTATCTACTCTATCTACTAAAGTACAGAAAGAACCATTTTACGATCATAAGCGCGTGATCCGAAAAGCATTCTGTAGGTGTAAAAACATTCAAAATTCTCGTGTAGATATAACCAAATGTAAAGAAACTTGACGGCTCGATGTTCCTTTGGAAGTTCAGCAAGAAAAGGGATGACTAAATACACCACCGCCACATTCTGACCCGCAAGATCGAATAGTCCCGAAGAAGGAGTTTTTTTCATATTTCAGGAGGAAGATATTAGCTGGCACTGTTACCCTTGGCCCGGGAAGTTGGGAAGTCTTGCTAAAAAGCCGTTCTAACTAAAGCTATCTATGATTGTTCGAAGAGAAGTGTCACGACCACGCCCTAAACCTTATCAGTCGGGGTGCAGGACTCACTACCCGACTTTTCGAGAAGACCGCTTTTGTTGGGCTTGGTATGCTACCCGTAAATTGAATTTTTCGATAACAGACGGATTCCTTACCTGAACATAGCTGTGGAGACCTTTGCAATGCCTGTTTTTGAAGATGCCGAACGTTCTGTCGACGTGTAGCTGAAAACAAAGGAAACTAGTTTGACTAGTAGAATATCACCATGCAAAATGATATGAATAGATGTGACAAGAAAATCAACGAAAAAGAAAATAGATACCAATACACAACAGAGAACGAACATTACTGCACAGTACTATCCCTACTTTTTGTCAGCTTTACACCATGTTGAAGCGGAACCACCTCTTTAACTTTTGAAGTTCGTCGCCGGATCGGAATCAGAGGCAAGAAGACGGGTAGGCTAGGCTGCCGGGCATCTGCAATGTACCACGACCACTACATTCTAGTTAGATTACTGTACCGACCAACTTCCCTTACTGTGTTTTTATTTTCGTCAGCAGTGGTGAAGAAGAGTGTTTTCTACAGGGTGGGCCAAAATTATGATTACACAGAAATCACATCGCAGAAAACGAATAGAAAGCCAATAGAGCAAGCCAATTTCATTAAAGGGTTTAGCACAAATTTCTTATCAAAACTGTACATTGAGACTGGGATCTGTTGCATTCTGCTTTCACCCAACCCCAAAGTCGACGATGGACGGCATTGACGGTGGCACGCAGCTAGGGTCATCGGAATGGTCCCGGCTTTTTGCTAAGCATTTTCGAGATTATTTCTTC